ACTTCTATGGATAAAGGATGTCGAAAAACCACCTACAAAGGATAACCTGATATGTTACCGATTTCAAAGAGTACCATTTGGAATAATATCGTCTCCCTTTTTGCTGTCGGCCACGCTAATTATCATTTAGAAAACCACCACAGCAAAACCGCCTATGAAATCAGAAAAAACCTATATGTTGATAATATCATAATACCGATTGAAGGGACAGAGGAAGCTCTGAAAAAATATGAAGTGAAATCAATCTTCAGTGAAGCCTCGATGAATATAAGAGAAGAATATATATCAGTCCATGGTTTTAATTCTTCTCGAACGATAAAAGTTTCAATACTCAATTACCCAGTTACGATCTTGCAGAGATAAGCCGAGTCAAAAAAATTCTTGGCATTAATTGGAATCCACACAACATAGATGTCATAGAGATAATATTAAAACCATGGACTGATAAGAAACTAACTAAAAGAACAATTCTACAGATTATAGCTTCTCATTTCGATCCATTAGGTTTCTTAGTTCCAACAATGATACCCTTCAAATTATTTCTTCAAGATCTCTGGAAAAAGAAGTTACCATGGGATCAACCACTAAACGAGCATGAAAACCAAACGTGGAATTCTCTTATAACTCTATGGCCAACATACGTAAAGGAGATACCACGCGCTGTTATTAACATATTTCAATATACAAGTATTCACGTGTTCACTGACGCGTCCATCAAAGCATATGCAGCGGCAATTTATGTGAAACAGAGTCCGACAACGTCCTTGATTTTTGCCAAGTCAAGAGTTATCCCAATCAAAACGATGACGATACCGAAACTCGAACTATTAGCAATCTTAATTGGAGTAAGAGTAGCTCAATTTGTTATCAAACAATTGGAATTTGAAAATGCACAGGTGATTTTATGGTCAGATTCGCGATGTGCATTGCACTGAAACCATTCTCGACTCTTACCAAGATTCACCCAAAATCGAGTCGAAAAGATACGAAAGGCCAAATTTGCGTATCGATATATTCCAAGTGAATGTAATCCAGCAGACATAGCTACGAAAGGAATATCACCAAGCGATCTGGCAAATTTCACACTTTGGTGGAATGGGCCCGAATGGACCCATTGGGAATATGATATCAAACAAGAAAGCGATAACGATGAAACCATAGACGAAGGAGAACAAGTAGTAGTTACAGCGATTCAAGAAACTATTACCAAAACATCAATCAGATTTGTCGATGCGAATCGGTTCAGCAATTGGTCACGAATGGTCCGAACTACCGTAAGAGCTTTGAAATTTCTTAAACTAATATCCAAAGATAAATTTCCCCGGTTATTAAGCAATATGTCACAGGGAACTCAAATCAACCCATATGAATATGAATTTGCTGTTGAATTGTTACTCAGAAAAGCTCAATCAGAAGGACTATCAGTAGAGGAAATAAAGAAGCGCAACTTGTATTATGTAACGGGATTATGGAGGTTTAAAAGCCGATTGCAATTTCCAAGTAGTGGTAGTTGTATCTCATATTTAACATATCTCCCGAGACACAATCGAATAACAGAAATTATTATTCAAACACACCATGAAAAAATCCATCATGGCGGCATTCCTCATACAATTTCTGAATTAAGATTATATTGGATACCTAAAGGAAGAGCCGAAGTCAAGAGAGTATTGAATAAATGTTACGGATGTAAACGGTGGAAAGCCAAATCGTTTAAACTGCCACCCATGCCTAACCACCATGACTCCCGTACAGTACGATCCAGAATATTTGCTCGAATCGGATTGGATTATTTAGGCCCTGTCACTGCTAAAACGGAAGTTGGAATGGAGAAAAGGTGGGTAGCATTATTTACATGTTTCACAACTCGTGCAGTGCATTTAGAATTAGCAGATGATTTATCTGCAGAAAGTTTTCTTACTGTGTTAAGAAGATTCGTAGCACGACGAGGCTGTCCTGAACTAATTTTATCAGACAATGCTAGCCAATTCCACCTAGTCTATCGAACGATCAAGAAATAAGAATCACAATTAAGTAATTTCCTTATAAGCAAAGGAATAATGTGGAAGTATATAACGCCGAAAGCACCATGGAATGCAGGAATTTATGAAAGAATAGTCGGTATAACGAAAAGTGCCTTTAGAAAAGCCGTTGGTAGAAAATTATTAAAGGAAGAGGATTTAGTTACCCTAGCGATCGAAATAGAGAGTATTATGAATATTCGCCCATTAACTTACGTGAATTTTGATGATTCAATAATTTCCCCCAATGCCTTACTAAATATACCAATGAGTAATGACAGTGACGAAGATGAATTTATTCCACATGAGTTAACCACTTAAGATAAGCTTATTAAATATTGGTCAAAAACTCTTGAAACTCTTGATGTATTTTGGGAAATTTGGAAAGATGAGTACTTAAATAGTTTAAGGGAACGTACACAAATAAACACAAATCTCTTGGAAGCGCAATAATACGACTACCTTTCCTAGGAGAAGTCGTACTAGTAAATGAACCACATATTCCTCGCGGAATGTGGAAACTAGCAAAGATAAATAAACTTAATAAGAGTAGCGATGGAAATGTCAGGAGTGTTCAGATAGAATTGCCTTTTGGGAAATTTCTCAATAGACCAGTTAATATGTTATACCCTCTGGAAGTTGAACAAGAAGATCAACCCGAAGACTCTGTAACTGAATTAAGACTCTGTAACCGAATGCAAAAGACGAAAAGCCCATCGCATGGAGAACACGAAGTTCAACAAAGGAGCTACAAACTCCAGCTGTGATCGAGAATGAAGAACCAATAGCGTGACGAACTAGAAGTTTGGCAAGACAACAACGAAATCCAATAAGCTTAAGGAGTAAGTCAAGTTTCACAATGTTATGTATAATGTTAGTAACAGTTCTATCCATAATGTCGACAAGAACATTAGCAACAAAAACCTGTAAATGGAGATCTGGAATATCATTTAACATCGCTAAAAGGGTGGATGACAATTTATTAGTTGCTCCTTGTAATTCGAGAAACATCACAGAACACGGTTGAGTTCAAAGTTGGTATAATAAGCAAATTTGAAATTGAAAGAATTAATGCGGAAATAGAAATATTGGCTGACAAATAAAAACCCATCAATCCAGTATCTCATCAACAAAACATGGAAACTATCTGGCAAGAAATCAGTCAAGTAGGAGAAGAGCTAGCAGAACAGCTGGATGATGAGATTGGCAAAGCTACGTTACTGATACAAAACGAACTTTCGGAATTTGCCGTACATTGGCGCATGATTATTGGTGAAACTAGTATGCTCATTCTGTTGATAGTGCTAATTATTGAATTGTCAATTGATTTTATTTCTTTTACGTCCAAAATGTAGTAGAAATTCAAATCAAGAAACCGTTGCTATCCCTATGAATTTATTAGGGGAGGACCTACAAAAAGGAATTTAAAACTACCATTAAGAATGTTTTAAGTTATCAACCCAAATTCCTTCCTCTTGCTAGTTTTTTCCCCTCTCGGGAATGTCGAGAATTTTCTCGAAACTATAAATCATTGCTTATAAAAATCAAAAGGTCATTTTTTTTTTCCTTTTTGAACATTGTGTAGGAGTGGGTTTTTTTTCTTCTTTTCTTTGCAGTATAAACAGTTTTTTTTTAAATTCACGTTTTACCTAAACTATTGTCCCCATTTTCAATAAAAATAAAAAATTATTATATTGTTGTGGTGTGACAGCCTTACAAACTCCGTTCAGTCTAAACGAAAAAGTCACAACGCCACCTGCATTAATAACGTTATTTCAGAACATTGCCCTTAGCTGGTTACGGCACGTTCTCTGTCGTCCACCACAGAAGATGACACATATTTCGTTATTTGTTAGTGAAACTAAGTCAAATCAAGACCTGGACTTATACGGTCAGAAAAGATTTTGAACGGATAGATGGAACAGCAATATATGGACTTAGATGATGGAAAAAGGAATGGTTTCTATTACAGTCGACGACGACATCAGACCGCGCCGCTTGGAAGCGTTTTACCCTTATAGCCGTTGGAGCCAGCCTAACCAGTAATGGTGAGAGCTGCTAGAAGAAGAATCAGAAAAAACTTCCTCATTCATTCTTTTTATTCACTATAACGTAAAAAGCAATATTGATGCATTCAGTTAATATTAAATCGAAGAGAATGGCTAATTAATTTTGTGACGACATCATCAGTCGATTTAAAGTGTTAATATTTTACTTTGTGCCTCTCGGTTGCTAAGCATCGCTGTTATCGCTATTATGTACAGAATGTTGCGAGATGATCTTCAAATCTTCTGTAATTTAACACCATGCAATCGTCAATGTCACCTTTTTCACACGCCATATCCTTCACGTGCTTCATCATCGAATAATCTTAATGATGTGCATCGTATCACAAATAATGCTTCAATATCAATTTCAACTCGATTTTCTTCAAAAAAACATTCTGAATTAACTTCGGGACGCGGTTTGCTTCTTATCAAGCTTTTTAAAATTTGTATTAGATAAATTAAAAACTCGATTTATTTTAATGTTCAACCAAGAAAAGCATTGTTTTTTCTAACGTTCAGCATTTCTAACCACTCTAGCTGGCTAGCGATATAGAAATTTTTGCTAGGCAATGAGAGGTATAGATGGATTATAAGCACATCCCGAACTGCTTATGACAGGTTTACACCGATTCCACCTATCCATCCATCTATCGATCCATCCATTCCATTCCATCCATCCTTTGAAGATCAGAGGAACTGATGCTCGATACAGATCGGAGCAATTATACCACTCAATTAACCCTATCACTCTTTTTAGCTTTCTTATTTCGAAAAAAACGTCATTATACCTTGCTTCCTTTAATTATTCTCACGAATTTCGTAACTATGATTTCGACTTCAGTTGGAGAAATTCATGTCGATTATATGACCAGTATTTTTTTCTAAGAGCACTCCATTTCTGATTAGGTTCGTTCCACTGGCTTTTCGGACCGAATAAATTTTATCAGAATTTTATCAGAAAGCGACAAGTCACTTGAAAGAAATAGCATGATCAGCATCAGTTAAAGATAGGTTTACTCCTGCCGGGAGCATCAGTATCTGCGCTGCGAAATTAGAGCAACAGGCTACTGAGTTTACTAATTTTTATGCGAATAATATTGACAATTTACTTCTCTTTTCAACTTTATTAATTAGGATTTTTTAATGAGAATTTTATTCCTGTTGGATTCCTGTTGGCAGAGTCTGAATCCTCGACCATTTTGGCAGCAAAATCTTACTCGGCATATTGGTTTTATGCGACAAACTTCAACCTTATCTTACTGAGTAGTTTCCTCGTTTTTTTCATCTCTCGGAGTACGATGATCAAAATTTAAGAACTTGACAAGAAAAAAATACTAGAATTTTCCATTGTTAATGTTGCTTCATTTTGATACTTTATACAGTTTCAGAGGAAAGTGAAACTTGTTCGGAAGGAACTAGCACTGCGAAAAACAATTTGGAACGCAACAGCACTGGGAATAGTATCATAACATTAGACGACATCATTGCTTATGCTCGCCGCAAAACAAGCGGTGATATGAGTAATGGAACGTCAAGACCTTTAAGGATTTTAAATTCACCAGGTGGTGGCAAATATCTCCATACGGATTCGAGGAAACCGTCAAATATTTCCGATGCGACTACGGATGTTATACATGATGTTGTATTCACTGATTGCCTATTATTTTCAGACGATGAATCACTTTCGGCTCTACCTCCCTCATCCTTAGAGTCAGACGATGATGCTAATACATCGAAGGCGGAATCCCTCTCTCACAAGTTGAATCAGAAATGAACAAATTTAGAAACCTTTTGGCTTCAAATTATTGGCTTTCAACGAATGGTTAACAAATTAATCAGCTCGAAGCTGCGATAAAACTTATAACCATAATTATAACAAATATTCAAATAAAATCGTCTTCAACAATTATTCGAGAAAGTTTTCAAGCGAAGAGGATTCATGAGCAATAAATAAAAGGACATCCAGTCGTCGATTGTTTTTTCCAAGAAATAATCGTGAATTTCTTTTAAATACATTTCATCAACAATGTACAACAGTTTGCTAAAATTTGTCGTTAACGATTGGATTTGTCTCATTGGTCAATCATTCATTTTTATGCGATTCTTTCGACAGAAGATTGATCTGGATAAGTCACCGCAAGTCACTGTGCATTCACCATTTGATTCACATCATAGTGGTACACTTAATAGCTCTCATTTGAATCAAAAAGGTTCCTACGATTTTTTCTCATGGGGATTTCCTTGTTTAGAAAAAATATAAACTTAAAAAACAGTGATTAAAAGTGATTTGATTCGATATTCCAGTCAGCTTATGGCAATTTCCAGTTGCTTGGATCTAATCAAAAATGGTGAATAAGATAACAAACTATGACTGAAAAATGTAAAAGTTTCAACGTTCAAACATTGAATGACAATAATACGCCGTAAAGAATAAACTAAAGCATTCTTTAATTTCCAACTTTTTCTTTGTGGAGAATACGTTTAATTAGTGGTTGCGATTGAAAAATCCAATAATTCAATTCCAATTATAGCCTAAATTAATCTACAAATAGTAATACATACAATCTTTCGCATATCTCAGTTTTGCACGAATTTTTTATAATTCATGAAAACCGATTAGACTCCAGTCGATTGATGAGCTAGGATAGTCAGATTTCAGCAAAACCGGTCTCGATAATACATCTTAACTCGGAACAAATTCAGCTTATTCAATATTGCCGGAGCTCATAAATAAAACTTATAATTTATTGAGATATCCTCTTTGATTTAAGCAAAATGGACTTTGAAGAATCATGCAAATCGTTTATCATGAAAAATATGAATAAAATATGAATCCTCAGTAATCAGCAGTTAGTAAGTAGATATTTTCGAATGTATTTTATTACTCCTGTTGATTTTCATAATGAATATTCGTACATATTTTTATGTTTTTCTATTTTTGAATTCATTTTAATGGAAGACAGGATAGCCGAGTAGTTTCTACTGAGATCATCACCTCGGACCGCCACCAAAAAAGAAAATCTTAAAGAAATTCTGGAAAGCCATTAGGATTATTAGTTCCATGTGACTTTTTGAAAATTTCTCATTGTACTAATAGCCGGTGGAACGAGTTCAACCAGAAATGCCAAACGCTAATCACTTAATAAATTTATTTTAAATAACTTTTTAAAATAATTTTTGAAAATTTTTTTCATCGTTTTTCATTGTTATGTTAAAAAAAATTTTTTTTTATAATTGAAACTGAATATGAAATGGAAATAAATAAAAATTTTCATTTTTTCAATTTTCTTTCAAAATTTTTTTGATATATATGCTATAAAAAAATGGAAAATTCTAATAATGAAATATCTGATAAATAGAATGTAAGTAAAGAAGACAGAAATCAAACGCCAGGACTTATATATGAAGTATCTGAACGAGCCATCAAATATCGTGACGCTCTTGGATTAAACATTCGTTCTCCGCGATGACCGTACATATGATACGCCAGTGAGCTGCATAAACTTTTTTTGGTAAATTTAATAATTTAAATGAATTTAAATTAAATATATACAAATGTATTGAAAATTGTTAAATTGCTATCTATCTAATTCTATCTAAGATGCTTAAATAGAAACCCATTTATCACTTTAACACGACCACACAATTCGTTTAATTACTGAAAAATTTTGCAGAGCCAAATATCATCTGGAAAAAAGGAAAACCATCGCTAATATAAGATATAAAATTTCTGTTCTATTTATAAAATACCCACCGGGAATCACTGTAACTTTTTGAGCAATACTGACAAATGTATGGTTTTGAGCGAACATCTGAATACACCTTTAATGGGTGTTTTGGCTCGAAGCCTTTCTCAATAAATTCAGGAATGGGAAATTCGGTCTCAGGTATCGTCTTACACTTTAATTTCGTAATATTTTGTTCCACTTCCACCAACACAGTTTCATTATCATCTGGATGGCGATGATATAACAAATCAGTATATGTATGGAATATACGACCGCATTCACATTTGTAGCCTTTTAGATCTATAACTTATTGAAGCAAATGTAAGCGCATTTTAGATCAGACAGGAGAAATATTGCAAAACTAAATTTAAAAAAATTAATAAAACGCCAGAAAAGGTGATATTAAATTGCAATTGAAATAATAATTGAAAATAACCCTCAATTCGTGCTGAGATTTATCTGTATCTTGTCCCCAAGTGATTCCCAGGCGAAAGAATCTCATACTAATAGCCAATGCAAAAATGGGAATGCCGATAGAAGAAGAAAAAGAAGTTCATTCCACTACACACTAAATAAATAAAAAAAGGAAAAATAATTTATCAGCTGCAAACTTGAGTGTTGTTTAGCGTGGTACTCCAGTTCACACATAAAATGAAAGGCTTCTGAGCATCTGTTACATTTATAAGGCTGCAATACTTTAGTTATCGAATATAGAAAATATTAATAAAAACATGAATATGTTCGAAGAAAAATATGGTAGATGAATAACAATAGTTATATTATACTGTAAGTTATATTGTAAGATATTTCTGAAAGCACTCACCATTTCAACGTTATGAACACGTTCGTGCGCTCTGAGAGTTGTTAAATAATTGTAGGTTAATCCACAAAACCGACATTTATAGAATATAAAACCATTATCATCTTTAATTCGTTCAACCACGGTGCTTCTAGATGACAATTCTGCAGAAGTTTCATCGGCCATTTCTAGCTACAGTATTTTAGACAGAGCTTTTTTTAAAGATAATGTGAGGAATGATGAGCTATTTAAAAAAAAAAAATATAATAGATAAAATATAATATAGCAAAATATAATAGATTATAACAGACATAACAAAATTCCATAAATTTCAAGATACCAAAGATAATGTTGGTCTGAACAATTAATAGTAATGATGGGATAAAATGGCTGACTGGTTATCATTGCCATATCGAGTACCCTGGTTTGGCTATTGCCATCGGAAATGAATCTGCGACTAGATCGCAGCCTATATTTCTGTTCATGTTGATCTATGATATAATAATCATCGGACGTGCAATGGATGGAGATAAACCACTAGTAATGTGATAATAATTTGCTTATTTGTTGACGACCAATTACCATAACCATGAATTTTGAAATTTTTTTTTTATTTTATGAATTTAATAGTAATATTTTATTACTGCAACGATGAACCGTAAAAATAAAAACGAACTTATGGAATAACCAAAAATTAAAAAAGAAATGGATGAAAAAATTTGCAACGATTTTTAAGGATCGAGAATCTTCATTATGAAGAAATCCTAGTCTCTATCGTAATTGGAAAAGGTCATAATTGGAAAAAACTGGAATGCGAGTATAGGTCATGATGTCGCTGTGATGAACTGGACATTTGGCAAATATGGCAAATATCGGAGACCGGTGCACAAATGGAGAACGACTTTTTCATTATACCGAACAAATGAACTTTTTATTAGTAATACTTGCTTCCGGCATCGTAGAAAACAACTAATCACGTGGAACTCCCCAAATAACCAACACTTCAACCAGATTGATTATATCTTAATCAGTCGCCGTTGGAAGAGTTCCGTACTAGATAATCGTTCCTACCGCGGCGCTGAAACGAGCAATCTTCATGAATCTGACCATGCTATGGTTCGAGCCAAGATTCGCATAAAATTGACAACTCGCAAAAAACAGTACCCCAAAGATCCTTAAATTACCTCAAACTAAAAAATTCGGTAGCAGTGAGCGCATTTCAAACTAAATTATTGAAGTATCTCAGTGATACAAATATCAATGACTTTTCTGGAACGGCAAATGAATACTGGTCCAAACTAAAGGAATGTCTCCGAAAATCAACCACTTCCACATTAGAGTATACTAGTAAGAAGTAGTGTATCGAAGTTGTGTATTGGAAGCAATTGTCTGAAAAAGCTGCCAAAGCATGAATGTCAGGTGATCCTGACTACAGGGTGCTTCGAAGATTCGAAAGCAGCACGGCGGGATCAGAAATCACTATTGGAATGACATGGCTTTGAAAATAAAGACGACGGCTCGATTAGGCAATAATAGGAGACTATCACTGAGTCACTGAGTCTTCCCCTATTTTTCATTGTTATAAGGGCATTATGAAATCTGACAATCAATGGAAAAACAGTTGCATACCTAAATTTGGCTAAAGCTTTTGATACTGTTTCCCATAGCAAATTATTGATCACTCTTAATATTTATGGCATTATAGCGGCCCTTTATAACTGGGTATCAGATTAACAAAAGATCGTCATCAAGCCAACATCAACACTCGTCAACAACATTCTTTCTGACACAAAACCTGTTAAATCTGGTGTTCCCCAAGGTAGTTATATTGCTTTTTCTATTATATATAAATGATGTAGCCAATGTGGTACTAAATTCTACTATTTATCTCTATGCTGATGATTGTAAAATTTATTTTTATCATGATAGATCAGATAGGCTATCTCCACTGAAGGAGGACCTTAACAGAATAGCCAGCTTGCTATATGACAGGCAAATTACCCTTTCCTTTCAAAAATGTAACGTTCTTCATATCAATTCTAAAGGTTTCGATTTTCCTAATCTTATTATTAATGACAATATAATCAGTACAGTCTCATTTTCGATTTCCGATCTTGGAATAATCATGGATAAAAATCTCGATTTCCACTTTCATAGCAGAATCACGATAAAGAAATCCTCAAAAAGGCTAAATTTTATTTTTCGTTCGTTTGAGATTTTCTTTTCAAAATGCACAAAGCGTCCGTTCGGCCACTTCTTGACTACAATACTACATGTTACTCTTCGAGATATCGTAAATCAAGTAAAATAATCGAACGAATCCAGAAATATTTTATACGGCGCCTCTCTCCTAGCTGCAATTTTAATTATAAAAGGAAACTTCTACAATATAACCTGGATTTTCTGTCAGTTCGTCGTATCAAGATTTAATTTATACT